AATAACTAAGAGACCTTCAAATTTTCATTTGATCTGGAAAAACGTCTGGAAGGAATCGGAAACGTGTTCCGCTTTCGTTTCCTCCGTCTTTGTCAAGTGGCGCTTTCCAACCATCCACATGTACGTGAATTCTTCCGAAGGTCGACAGAAAATTGTTGATGGTGCCTATTGCTTTGTTGTTAAGAAACTCAATGCACCTCATCGGTGCATTAAAGGCGTGAATGTCGCAAAAGCTAGTTTGCAAGACACACACGCGGTAGAGAAAGTTGCGAAGCGTGTTAGAACCATTCAGTAACCTTGGTCAAAACTCATTCGCACGAATTCCCCAATGGAAGTGAGGTGAAGAGAGCTCGCGCAGCCATTCGTGATTGATGGGGTGGTTTACGGGGCACGTAATGCTACTGTTTCTCCACACGTGTTGGTGTCGGCCTACAAATCTGGGGCGGAGGAACATGTTTCGCCCTGCACATTCATCGTTACCACATTTGAAGAGGAATGTGCAATCGATACGAAAAACAGCCGAAGCATAATGGTGAAATCCGTTCGGTCTCTGTGCCACCAACATTACTCGTCGAATCATACGCCACGCTTCGGGATTTCTGTGTTTCGGTCATTATGACTGCGTTCAAATGTGGACCGGTCGTGCCAGGGGCAGCATAACTGCTTCCAAGACTTTCTCTCGAGTGAAAAGGCAATCTACCCGTGTCACGAAGTTCTGTTTTCAGCGACACTAGATCACAAAATCATGAAATCATTAACTAGAACGAGAATGAAGATGCCGACCTCAACCCTGGTGGCGTGCCCAAAGGGAGAAAGGGGTCAAGACCCTCCCCGAGGCTAGTGTTATAATTCTTACTCTGACGGTCATCAGTGCCTGATAATCGTTTCTTTTGCAGGAAATGTGAGAAACCGGCTGGCGAAAAAGAGAAAAGCGCAGTCCTGTTTGTGGCCTTAAAACTTAATTGTTCACTTGAAGAAATGCTAGATTCGTGAATATTTCGTATCACACAGATAGTCCCTAAGTTGATTGGGTAAAGAGGAACAGCCGTTAAAACTTCGAAAAGAAAAGACCGCTTTCTGGCGTCTGGAGGCAGCGGTTTCAGCATTGTACTCAACAGATGCGTCCGATTTTTTCGCCAAAACCCCTGCTGGCTATGGCAGCTTGCTTATTGCAATGTTCTTGACTGTGTAGTGTCATCCTGTCGTATGTTTTAAAATAAAGGTCACTACGTTAAAAGGTGTTTTTTAAAAAAGGCCTGGGAAGGAAGAGACTCCACAGAACAGTCCATAATTTGATTAGAAACGCAATTATCTTCCCTCTTCAATACTTATGCTCGAAACACGCCATGGAATGCAGACCTTACCTTCTCACCTGAGGCCAGAAGACGTTGCACAATCATTAGTATGACGAGAACCCAGCATGAAAAACAGCCTTCGTGGCTCAAGGAGAGAAATCTTTTGATCGGTGCCAAGACTGCGTCCACCTCATGCGCGGAAAACTTACATTTCATCACTTTACTTTGAATTACTGTCGCTACTGACAACCTCGACAATTGAAACTTTCAGGAAACTAATTTTGCAATGTTTTCGATGTTATACAAAAGAATCACGAACCTTATAGGTTCGTGATTGTGGAAATACTATAGTATCAGATATTTCCACAGTCGACTTCACAAGTTTGTGAAACAGAATGCGTTTTTAGCGCCACACGATATTTCTGTAAACAGATCGCTCTCTTCAAAATGTAACCTGTAATCGTACATCGGATCACTCTGGAATTACTTTCAACCGAGCTAAGTTAATCTTCGCTGTTGACAGTTCTAAGTATTTGAAACCACCCCAACTCTTTTATATCGCTGTTAAGATGAATAAATTAAGCAAATTTGTCGGTGAAACAAGTAATTCGGATGCAAGAAAGTCACTGACGGTCATGTTGTTACTCTGAGCGATCCGATTATACGGGGAGATTACCTCCGACGAGAAGCAATCTGAAACTATAATGCGTTTCTGCATAAAGTAATCCGATTACAGCGGCAAGATACTTTCCCAACAACTGCTCTCTCAGTCTCGATTAACCCCCCCTTACGGAAATATGGACGAGTTCCCACACCTCAAGATTTAAGCATGTGGATGATACGAAATGACGTGTGGTCCTTCGGTATTCGAGTGAAGGAGCCAACCTATTTTAGGAAGTGTAGGGTCAGTTGAGTTATGAAACTATTATTCGCGGCCTTCGGCAGCGGCCTTTCACGTAGTAGATACCAATACCTTGCGCTTCTGTCCTCGTGTCTTGAATACGATCGGGACGTCGTTATTGTTGAAGGCACCGATGACGAAATTACCTCTGCCGTCTGCTCTTCCCAGCCTCGAATCCACACCGGATTCGAAGCCCCGGAAGGAGCACTTCAGAGGGAAATCTAAGACCCGAAGAAATTAGCAATAGCGGCGCTATGGTTTCTGTAAAAGTCGGACGTGTAGCCCTGCCTCGTATCGGCACCGAATCCTGGTAGCTCGTACATCTCTCTCTTTTATCCCACCGCAATTCGTATGCCTCGACTGTTTCTTGGAGTCTCTTCACCAATATATTTATTCTCGACCGAATGGAACTCAAAGGCAAAGCTTCATGTAAGCCTTTTTTATATCCTAGGCTTTTCGGTTCACGTGTAGGATATTGTTATAGTTCTTTCCCATAGTGAATCACATTAGCATTAGCACCTGCACACGACAGGTCCCATGTGAGCTGTGAGCTGAAAAATCAACAGTCTCACTGTTGAATTTCTCTGCCTAAGTTAGATGATGACAAAGAAACCAAAGAAAGGAAGAATGAGCTATTTCTCTCAAGCTACTAAATCGCTTGCGCAGGTGCTTTCGTCCGTAAAATAGATAGAATGCGCTAACAGACTCTACCTATGATAGTCAATTGCAATCTGTACTATATGAAATTGTTCTGATCGGACGCACTCTTAATTCTGAGAGGGGAGATGTGTCTGGATGTTTACGAAAAGTCACATGACAAACTCTTTCTATTCGTTTTCTTTATCCACCACACGAGCTATGGAGTGAAATTTTTTGGAGGTTCATTCACCCTCCAGAAGACAGATACTCTTCAACGGTTAAACTCTTCCCGTTTTCCCATGACGATGACATGCAAGGCTTGGAAGGCGGAAGAAGGAACGAAGGAGAAAGTCCCATAAGAGTCCACAGTCGTTCGTCCGACGAACCATGCGATGGTCTAGCCTAGGGGCTAGAAGCCTGCACGGGCCAATTTTTCGGAATCTGACCCGACAGCCCACGTTTGAGTCCTGTCCTGAACCCGACCCCTATTGCCCATCAAACTTTAGAACCCAACCCGACTCGAAAGAAAAAAAAAAGAAGCTTAGTTTAATTCAGAATGGCATGTTGAACATGGAGGTGCAATTCGCTGCTTTCTCCACATTACTGACAGTCTAATAGTCATAGCCCTCATAATTTCAGATGAGGGCTATGAAGGCTTACATAACAAGAGATTGCCCATCGTCCCTGGCCTTGACTCAACCTTCTCCTCACGGATTACATGCATTAGTGAGATTCCAGTCCAGATGCAGACTATCCATACTCCCAGTCTCGAGACGAAAAACCGAATAAATCGACCATATAGGAATTTCGGCCCCGCGGTTTGAGCCTATCAGGACCGTTTTCAGCCCGTACCGACTCTACTAGGGGCATGGCCTCAGCAGATCCTCCAACTACCGGACTAACCCACATTCGTTAGTTGCTTACTTTTATATCAGATGTCATCATGTAGCAGATGAGAAGGTGTATGACATCACCACACCCCCTATGACATCACGTCGGTGCTGGACCATTTCCAGGATCACATTTTCATTGAATGTGGGCAAGTGTGAGATGAGATTACATTTTCGCTATCCTCCCAATGTCAATTTCACGTAATGCTAGAAGTTCTTACGCAACAGGATCAGAGGTTGATACAAGAGATGGCCGAATCCTAGTCGTGAATCATTAATGTAACCTGGGATTAGTGATTCCTTTCGCTCCTGGTAATAAAATAATACAATTCAATTCTCTTCAGGCGTAAACGATTCGGAAGTGATGGCAGGAAGACTCAAATCTGTGCCGCATTTTCTGGCTTATAATAAAAAATTTGACCTACATTCACATTACCTCTTACATTTTACATCTTGCACGCTATTTTTATGGTGCAAGCATGGGCATCTTCCATGGGAAAAAGTGGCATTACGTTCAATAGAACCCATGTTAAATGAGGCATGAATTTGTTTGCAAATCGTTGCATATTGTACAAACTGTATGCAGTGTGTGCCAGATTGCATCTGAATCGCCAGTGCTGTAAGTTAGGTGCCATGATCTGCTCTATTTGCAGTACTGGCCTCCCTCTCATTCCAGGAGTGCGAAATTGAGAAACCTGAGGCTTCGTGAAGACTGAATTTTATTATTTTATTTATTATTATTTATTATTTAAATGATTTTCATTGAATTTGATTCAAAATATGAAATATTCGATTGTTTGAGTTGTTCAGTTTTCATAGATACTAGACCGAATTGTGATTTTGTTCTATATTATGAGATTCGCGATAGTGATTTGGATTCGATTCGCATCGCCATGTGGTACAAGTATTGCTATGGGGTGCCCTTCGTGTCTTGCTTTTCACTCTCGCCCACTTCCATTCCGCCTTGTATTGTAGCTTGTAGCTTGAATGGGGACCGCACGCGGGGTGGAACACCCACTGCTATTATATTTTTCAATTTATGCGCGAGTTAAAAGCTTCAGGTACTTCCATTTTTTGTTTTGGCACAAGTTTCCTCGTCGATAGCACGGTAAGAGCACCTCAGAGCACGGTTTCCATATTCCATGAAATCACGTATGAACGGAAATCCAGTTTTGTGCGCCTCCATGGAAGACAGGTGTTCATGGGGAATTTGACTCCTCCCCTTCCCTGTCTTCAAATTTCGAGAACTTGCGGCAAGTCCATAAGAAAACCAGGTGGGAATATCCATTTATTAAGCACAAGATGGTTTTCTGAAGCAAACTTAGAAGCGGATAGACATTGAAAAAAGAAAAGACAGCGGGGATAGAGATGCAGCAATAATAAGTTATGGTATACCATCCAGGCTTCTCACGCATACACTTCCCCCTTTGCATTAGCATGCTGATTGATGTTGATTATTCTCGAGTGGGTGAGAAAGGAAAAATCAAGAACGAACGAGAAAGAGGTATGAAGGCAACGAAGAGAAAGAGTGAGCTGCGAAAGATTCATTCGTTCGTTCATTCACTTGGGAAGAGCATCTCGAAGGATTTCTCGAGTGGTTTTTGGGAGGTGGTCGGGGAAATGGATGTCGAAGGCAAGTATGAGGTCCCCCCTCCTATTTGGCTCCTTCGGCATGGGTAATCCTTGGGAAGGGATCCTCCTCGTCGTGTTCGGCTTGATGATCCCTTCCGTGAAGTCCATCGGGATCTTCTCACCCGATAGAGTCGGCACCTCCACCAACGTCCCGCAGAGCGCCTGCTCAACAGGAAACAGCTCCATTCCATCAAATGGATCGCGGGCTTTCCACGTGTTTTTATATATGCAAGCATGTATGCTACGGAGTCCGAGTGAGCCCCCCGCGTGTCTCTCTCTTTTTAGCCGGCTAAATATAGCGCAACATCCATTTCCAGTTCCGAGACCGACCTAGTGAGAGACACGATTCTCTTTCCGACCATAAGGGGGACGGGGCTTGAAATCCCCACCTTCGTGCTCATTAGCCAATATATCTCTACCAACGGCGTCACCATTGTCAAGATGGTCAGGGACGCGACATTGCATCACATCCTCCTCCGTCAGGGCATCCAAGGACCTCCTCCATTCTCTCACTACCTTAACCAGTAAAAACACGAACTTCCCGAATTTCCCCGATGGTCTGGGCCAAAAAAAGAACTACTATCAGGGAATCAAGTTTGGAGAGCAAATTATCGAACCTTCAACAAGATTCCTTATTGAAACAAGGAGGTGAACTAATAAGTGGAGCATGTGCACAGCTCTTGAATGGAATAAATTAATTGCAATAATTTTGTATATATTCACGGCAATAAATTTTTGTTCGAGAGCGAGAGCAGACTTCTCAATCCTCGGTGTTTCTTGCAGACTGATGAGTGCTAAAAAATGTTTACATGTAGACAGATATAGACGGATATAAGTCTTAGCCAGCGCAGAACTCCCAAAAAGAAGGGGAGAAAAGGGGGTCAATCAATGATTTTGTTCTCTGGGCAAGTCCAGAAGTGTGATATCGAAATTCAGAGGAATTCGCGTGATCGTGGCGTTGATACAAGTAGAAGTAGGAGTGATACCATAAAGGGCCAACACTGATACCGTCGGACTGAGTCCATCAAAGAACGAGAAGCAGACAGTGAGACGTAGGCTGCACACAGCCAATAAAATAATAATTCGTGAATAGCACCTTTGCGCATGTAATCACGATGCATGCAAGGAGGTGAGGGTATAGCTTCCCTGAAAGACGTGATATTAGGCGTCTGGAGCCCTCGCCAAAGGTGGTACGGTCATTTGCAAAGCTCTTTTCCAAAAAGTAACAAATAAAAACAGGCTAGTAGCGAGTCTCCCGTGATTACCCTCGTAAAAGGCAAGGGGGAAACCTGTCTTTTTAGACGAGTTTATGTGATGCCCCTCACTTTGACAATCAACATTTCGTTTTCTCCCCCCCCCCCCTTCCTTCTCCCCAGGGGTTTTTCCCTTTTCCACTAAAGGAAGAAGGTACGTTGCAACTATGCTGCTGGTAGTGGCAAAATGAAACATCTGGCAAATTCATGACAAAGTAATGGAAAACCAGAACGACTAAGGCATCGGTTTCTTTTTTAAGCATCAGATCCCTTGCTACATATGTAAGAACTCGACGCGAGGCAAGGGTCGTTTGGAATATGTGCTCGTCAATTTATTAATTTCGTTTTTAGCGGAATTAACTATAGGCAATTTTTAGTTTATTGCAATTACATTCAAGGCAATTATCGGTTGCAAGTACTTGGATCTCAATCATATTTCCCTCCATTTTCGACTTGATTGTCATGCTTTGAACGGTGTCCGATCAATTCCTCGATACTCAATTCTCTGATTTTCAGTTTTCCGCTTGGAAAATTCGTCCACAGGTCTGCTCCTCGACGATACAGTTCCATTACTGGGGTATGGGGGTACAGGTTGAGTTCGATCGACCATTATGAATGAGGTTTTTATGCACTGAATTTTTTCTCTATCCCGTCCCACAAATCATGCAGCACGGAAAATCATCGCCGATATAACGCCAGGTCAGAACACCTATAAACACTCGCACATAGAGGATGAAAGGGACGTATACAGTAGGAGTAAGGGTAGCACTTCCATCTTCGGGTTGGGCGTATCAGGCCAACACAGAGTCATGTAAGCATTAAACACGAATTTACGGTTGCCGGGATCGTATCCTTACACAGTACTGAGCATAAATAAATTCCTAAACTGACGTGAAGTCCTGCATGAATAGATGCGATAAAACTAGGGAGATGAAGTAATACCAATTTACCATGAAGAAAACGCCTATGCTCAAACAGTCTCGAATCATTTTTCAGTATTCCTTCCCTAACCTCAGGGTACTTCTTGGCCTGATCGATATTTCACGTCATTGCCAGATGAAGACAGTTAAAAAGCGAACGTAGTCCGTGAGTAAAAAAATAAACCTGAGAAAGGGAAAGAGAAGAATTAAATTCCGTTCAAGGCAGTGCCGTTGGGGATGGTTCCAGGGGAATTGACCGGGGACAATATAAATCTGCCAACCCTGCATCCTCTATATTCATTGTGACGGATGAAACACCATTTTTAAAAGAGATAGCTGCTGTTGAAAAAAATTCGGTTTTGCTACTAACGACAAGATAATTTTGAGAAGAGGCAGCTGCTCAACGTGAAAAAATAGCTTGCTAAGATATGAATAATGCTTGCAACCATTGTAGATGGTGCTTGACCAACTATTAGTTCCATAAATTTTCTTATCTAAAAAATCTGTTGTAATTACTAAGTTAGTCAATGCAATTAAGCCTATCGTTAATTGGGAAATTTAAAATTATGAAGGGAAATTCCAAGAAAACTTGAAGGTGTACCAGGAAATGGTTATTGTACATTGTATTTCACTACATATTAAGTTGCTTGGCTTTGAAAAGAAGGAAATCATGGTCAGTCATACCTCTCGGAGTGATATTTTGGCAGTGTATCTGATGTCACTCCCCTCTCGTTTGAAGAGGGGATGGGGTTTATCCCGAATGATGAAGACAATATCAGCAGGGATCTTATGAGGAGCTTGGTCTCCTTCTCGTTGAAAGGTGATCTTTGTGCCAGATTTCCAGCCTGGTTTGATGGTGATGGTGAGGACCTTATCTTCCCGCCTTGAACTTCCATCCACCCCAGTCACTTTCCGGCTGATCTTCATCTTCTTCACACAGCCTTTATAAATGTCCTCAAGGGCAACATATAGGTCATGTTCAATGGGGGGATCTTGACTCTTAGGCTTAGCTCGGCCCATGCTTGGACTTCCAGTTGTGAATGAATGGGATCGGAAGGGAACCCCACCACCGACACCACGAGGTCCACCAAAACCAAGGCTGATGAAAGGATCATCCATTTCCACATCATCAGAATCTCCAAAAAACCCTCGACCTGGACCACCCATACTAAAGAAGGTCTCAAAGGGATTGGAGGTGCCAAAGAACTGGGCAAATGTTGCCCTGGGATCTCCATGGAATGTGTATTGAAATCCTTGTCCACTACCTCCTCCTGGGATCCCACCTTTCAATCCTTCTTCTCCATATTGATCATACACCTCTCTCTTCTTCTTATCACTGAGCACCTCATAAGCTTCAGCTATCTCCTTGAACCGTTCTTCTGCCCCTGGAGCTTTATTTTTATCTGGATGATACTTCAGGGCTAATTTTCTGTAAGACTTCTTGATTTCATCTTCTGAGGCATTTTTAGCTATTCCCAATATTTTGTAATAATCTTTCCCCATCTTCATATGTACCAATCTGCATAAGAAGGAATCAAAAAAGAAGCAGCATATGATATGATAAAGTAAAGCACAAGGTGGCAACTAAAAATATCAGCTAGGCATAAATGGTAAGAAAGGCTTCATGGTAAGCCACATTCTCCTAAAAATTAAATTATTAGTACTCCCAATACTATCTCATTGTTGACAAGTAAGATGGCCTACATGAAAAAAATCATTAGTTAAATTATCTCAAAAAAGTCTTTAAAAAATTTCATCTACTTTGCTGCAGGTGAATATTTCAACTGAACAAGACACAGCATTCCTCATAGAACAGCACTTTTGGATGGTCCCCCAACACAGTGCAATGGAAATTTTTACCAGTTTCCAAAGAGGCAAGCATAAACAATTATAGCCTTTTTTTCCAATTTAATTTTAGGTTTCATTGATATGAAACCCATGAAAACGTAAACAAAGGACAAACATTCCCAAGGTGCAGAAAGTGTACACACGCCAGACACAATTGATGGCAGTTAAATGTTTCTTGCGATATGCAACCAGATCAGGGGTTAAATACTGCGGCTATAGTCCTAGGCCTACCTTATTGGGCCAAGCCCCAAAGGTGTTACTGACTAAGCTTTTGCTGGACCCAAGTCACGGACTAGAACATGGCTAACCTAGACATTATACATCAGCCTACGCACGGCCCACCTCTAGGCCTACACCCATGAAACAGATGTCTACTGCAACTCATCCCTCCAGTTACAAGCGGCCTATACGGTGGGATAAGTTCAGCTACACAGGCCTACCTAAACGTTAGGCCTAGGCCTAGGATATGTACTGCAGTTCTGCAGTTGCAGCAGAGTCCCTCCCCATCGCCATTTTCGTCATTTTAAGGAATGGCGATTGGAGAAGGCATGTCGAAAGGGGCAGGAGACATCTATCTGTCCATTCCTTAACTTCTTACTAGCCCTTCCTTCACTAGATCACGATACGTTACGACCAGGCTCAAGAAGCAAGGCTAATGAAACCATGTCGACTGTGTCACTTTCGATTTTGTTCCGTGTCGGTATAAATCCAGAGTCCTCTTTCGAAGCAGTTCTGTTTCGATCTATTTCTGTCGTACAGTTTCTCGTTATATACCCGCGTCTATATTCTTTTTCGGTACAGCACTTCCTGTCTAGTCACATCTGTATCGATTTCCTACCTATTGGCATCAGGGCCGGATTAAGAAGTTGCGAGGCCCGGGGCAAGGGGATTCTTGAGGCTACTCCCCTCTCTCCCCTCCCCGCTACTTGACGCAACTATTTAACGCTTTTCATTTCCTTCAGGGGGGCCTCCCCTGGAGGAGTCGGGCCCGGGGCAACAGCCCCCTTTGCCCCCCCCCCCCCCCCCTTAATCCGGCCCCGATTGGCATTATTTCGCGTCGATGATGATCCAGTTGATATTATTTTGCAACAATTTTTAGTTTATTAACGCGTCTGGATCAGTCGTGTGCCCTTGGGATATATTTTACAGGCTCGATTCTGATGATTTTTCATTTGGTCATAAATGCAAGGTGACTTACCAATGTTTTAAGTCAATGGGGGGGGGGGTAACCCTAAAACACCCTGACTAGACTTATGTGTGTTACCAAGTATACCGTGACGAGTTCACGGGTAAAGCGAGTACCACGTACTATTGATTGCAGTTCAGAACTTTACTCCGAGGGAGATCCCGTTTCCGGAAGTCAAACCCGAAGCCAGTTCCATTCAGCCCTTTTAGGTTGTGCATTGCTTTCGCGATGATTTCACACATCCTTTTAATTCACACCATTGCTTTCTATGGGCCTACCGACAGCCGCAGAACCAACGTTTCCTCATGTCTTAAGTCTGACGTGAACTGGTATTCGGTAGATGTCCCTAAAGTCGAAACACCAGCAGCACCAATGTCATTATGGGGGGGGGGGGGGGGGGGGGGGGGAACCTCCCTCTCCTTTGCCAGACTTGGAAAAGATCCCAGTTGATATATACATGCATCAAAATGAAAATATCAGTATTTGTTACTGGGTGTTAGAACCAGAAACCTTAGTTCTGGGCATATTGTACTATTCTATTTAATTCTGTTCCAACCACTCTCATTGCATGGAATCTTTCTGCTTTGTTAGGAACATCTCTTCTTTATTCCATGCCGGCAGACTAATGGATTCAGTTGTGAGTAAATGTTTGTGTATAGTGGCAGTGTATAGCTGTAAGTTTTTAAACTGAAACCCATGGCATTTGCCATTCATCAAGGTTATGATAATTGTCACCTGTAATGACACCACTTGTGTAATTCACCCTCATACTTTCACTGCTTTTTCCTCAGTCTCCAGTTTTAAATTTCCAAATTGTTGGGAAATCTCTCTTGTACTTCTACAAATATAATTTATCTTATTGTTACTATTGGAGCAGTCAATATGTGGGTGGTATCAGCCTACATTTTCTGATCAGAGCACAAGAACATCTTTTCTATATTTGTTTAAATTACTACCAACTGGGTGTAAGTTCAACAGCAGCTCTCATTCCAAAACCAATTCAAAACACATTGCAATTGAAGTATTCAAATTTGATGACCCATGTTGCTATAAAAGTTGTGAGAAATTTTGAATTTTTGAAAACAAACCATCCTCCAATGTTTTTTAGCCCTCAACTTTCAACTCCTGTCATTTTTATTGTCCTTTCCCTTCCCCTGATTTTTGTCTCCCCTCCCTTCCCAGTTGACTCCTTTCTTCTTGTTCAGACTTGCATGCATCTGTTTATTTTTTTTTTGGTTCCCATTTTTAAAATATATTTTGCTTGTACTTGATTAGATTTTCTTAATGCTGATTTTGTAGTGAAGTATCCTATTTTACATGATTTATTCCTAATATTACATTTTCTCTCCCTCCTTTTTGATTGATTGGGCTCTGATTCCCCTCCCCCCTTCCTTTCTATTTGCTGGTGCATGTGCTCTTAGCTTTCCTGAAGAAAGGGGAGATGGTCCCTTAAAACATCAAAATTTTTCTGTTAAACCTTCTCCTTGTTGGGAGTTGATTTGATGTCATCATATCAGTCATTATCAATTGGTTTGAGATCTCACTATATGTAGCAATCTGTCAGATTATCTCCAGTTCATTCTTTCAGAATTTGGTGAACATACTGGATCATAATGTTGAATGTGACTTGTTCAGGTTCTTGGGATCTTATCACTACCTCATCCACTGCCTACATGACATATAAACACATCATGCCCTAACTCTCACTGTGTGCTAGTTTGTCAAGCTAAGGTGTCACGATTTTATAAATTTTGTATGGTTCTCAGCACAGGGTATATGTCTTTAGATTTTAATGTTACAAGTATAGTAAAAAATTCATGCAAAAGACATTGGGTGTTTTTCCAGTTTCCTGTAGTACACAACAGTTAATGTGGTAACGTCTAAGCAACAACAAATGGGTTTGTGTTGTAAAACTGTTCCCAAAGCTGTAGCAAATGAGTTCTTTCTCATGTTCAACATTAGGCTTGTAAATTATTTCATAGGAGGTGGATACCTTAATGCCTGAGCCTGATTTATCTCCAATGGAGGAGCAATTGGATTACCTCAAGCGGAATATCTTCCGATCATTACCAAACTCTCGTCTCACTTCCAATACTGACTCTCCTGCCTTCAATCGAGTGAACATTCATCTTCAAACCTTCAAGGTACTTCCTTTCATATTCTGCTTTCTTTGTCAATACTTTCCCTTTGTGTTACATGGAAAATTATTGAATGAAGTCATTTATGCCAGAGAATGGACCTTGATCACAAAATGTGGAGGTGGAAGGAGAAGTACACCTTTGTCCAAATGTCTTATTGCTTTTTTTTATTATTCCCCTTCAGATGCAATTAGGCATCTGTTCTTTGACTTAGCTCATGTAGGAAGGCCAAAATTTACACCACTATTCTCCTTTACCCTGAGTAGGGGGTAGTGCTATTAGTCATTCTCAGTATCTGTTGTACTTAAACATTGACCAACTTCAGCATAATAGTGAAATCAAATGGAGTTGGTGTTTCAATGTAGTGCTTGTCACCCTGGGAGTGGGTTAGAAGTGAATTGGTAGTATCAATCACCCAATTATTCTTTCACTGCTTTATCGCTTATCTGTATGTCTATTGTGTTATTGACTTTGCTGTACTTTCATTGGTACCCTTCTCCATACAGGAAAACATCATTATTTCAAAATTCAGGGCACCAAAAAGTGCCAACTTTGAAATAATCAGGTTTGAATTTTCCAATTCTCTTGTACTTTCTCTTGTTTGCCTTGGTACATTCATCCTTGCTTTGCACTCACAGCACTGATGATAAATACCAGGCATTGCAACAACTATGCAAGGTTTATGACCATAGCTCATGTGAATTGTTGGTGAAAAGTTAATGAAAAAGGGTGTTATTCTATGTACAGTAGATCGTCTTTTGGTGTTAGGGGGCCCTTCAAAGTCAACTAACATGTTTCAGAGTTTATAAATCATGGGAACAGAGATTGCCTTCAAATTTCAAATTAGCCTTATTTTTAGTCATCCATATTACCATACCAATTTTAATCCTCTTGGATGGGGAAAGTTGATGACTTTGAAGTACCCAATACTTCAAACTCTCAATGGTCCCTCATTGTTTTGCCAATGCATCAGTACAGCTCTAATATTAATGGTATTCCTTTACTGTGTACAAGGATTCTATAGATCTTAATAAGATCTACATACATCATGCAGAGGATAATTGCACAAATGTGAGTGACCCAAGTAGCAAGCAGCAGAGATTCTGGGTTCCATTTCAGTATTTGCTGATATGCAAATGCTGGCCATTCTGCTGTTTCAGATGTTGAAAATGACTAGGCCAGAAGATAGGCTTCAAATAAGGCTGGGTAATTGTCCCTCAGCATTTTCACTTCTTTTTTGCCCATGCAAGAGGATGTTCTTTATCATCTTAACAAATGGGAAAAGAATTGCAGCATCTGCTACTTTCCCTATAAAGACTTGTTGAAGACTCATACTGCTAGGATATGTTGACAGGATTTTCTATTATTTAAGATGTTCAAGTTGCATGTCGGAAAAGGTGGAAGCTGTTAGTTATGGGCACATTGATAAGACCCAAATGCAAGATTACCAAATGGCACAACAGGTTTTGTTACTAAGCAACACTCCCTGTTTTGTATGGTAATGTTGATTTCTTCAACTAATAATCATTACAAATAGGGAAAACCTCCAATGCCAATAAATGAAGGAAAATAATTTTGCCATTTTGCTAGGATTTCCTTGAATTGATAAAGCAATATGCATTATGGAAATTATGACTCAAATGCACTCAAGACCTATCATGATGTCACTCAGCCAGCCATTTGGTTTCCAAGTAAGCCATGAATTTTGATCGCCCAAATATTTGAGGCAAGTGATGACACCATTTGTCTGGAGTTTCCCCTTCTGTTTCCATGCATAGCACTATAGTGAAACCTGTGGATTCAGCCACCTTGATATTATGGCCATCTCCTATTTGCAGTCTGTAGTGCTCGGTCCCAATTGTTAGCTTCATGGGCTTAATGTTTAAATAACCTGTTTTATCTGGCCACCTGTCTAATGCAGTCAGCAGCCAAGGATTTGTAGACCCTCTGTGCTGGCCACTCTTTAATCCAGCCAGAACCCAGGAAGGAAAG